AGGCAAGCATTCTTTTGATTTGTTTCTCTGAAGCTGCAAACCTAAGTCAGTCATGATCATGTGATGTGGGTTCTGAACTACTAAGCAGGCAGCTTCAAGCACCCATGATGTTTACTGTACCAAACGTGTTGTATCAGAATGACGGTCTCATGAAAATCATCACAAACTTAATTTTACAAGTGACCACAGGTATGGCAGATGACAGCCAGCCTTGAACCTGCATGAAAACGACTGCAGCAACACACAAGAACATGCGGCAGGCAAGACAAACGCAGCCCAATGATCTGCCATTGGATGATAGCAACTAATTGGAGAGAGTTTTCTCTTCTGCTCAAGGTGTTGTCTTATGATTAAGAGAGCCCAATGAATATGTATACGTGAGCACAGGGATGGCTGGATCTAGGTCAGGCTGCTGGTGGATGTTGAGTTGCTTGTGAAGTGAAGCAAGAAGAAGTGTATTCAGAGACACCCACAAGAGGCACGCAGATGTGAGGGACCTTAACATTTACAGATTATGTCTATAACGAATTTATGGGCACTTGGCATTCAGAGGGAGGCGGTCTCATCCAGCTGAGGAGTCCTAAATGACTTCTCTAGGGACCATTTCCTGTCTGTTACAGCTTGGAATTTAAATAAAGCAACTGGATGCATTGATTGGTCCACCTCCTCACACTGAATGTGAAACTGATATTTCTACAAAGATGGAGAAGTGATGTCATATGTTGCTGGAGCTCAGAGGTAGTCTTTCTTTGTTGTAGATTATAAAGAGTTTGTAAAGAGAATACAAGCAAACCCTTCAGCGTCTGTGAACACAAATGAGGAAGAAACAGTCCGAAATAAAATGCTAACAATTCAACCGTCTTGGGTTAGGTGTCACAACAACCCTTCCATGGTCTGTGAGACGAAGCAAGAATTGTTAATGATGCTTTAAGTTGTTCTGCGATCGTTTCTCTCTCCAGCTGACAAATTTCACAGCTCGTAATTTTGCAAACCAACAAATTACTTTGTCTTACATTATCAGCATAAATAATGCAAATAGCCCAACAAGCTGAGCTCATGGTTAAAGTTTGCGTTGGATATGAGGCGGAAGAGAAAAGACCTGTCTGTTGCAGCCAACCCGCTACACAGCTGTCACACATGCCTAACGAAAAGATATGTCGGAGGATATGAGAGAAGCCCCCAGTATTATTTTCTTTCATTAAAATGTGCAGGCTTTTTTTCAAAGACTTGCACAGTTGGGAATCATGAAAGGTTATATGACTCCTGTATCCATGACAGCTCTCAATAAATGCAATGACATCTTTGTTTTTTTATTTTTCAGGAAAAATGATTTGAATGAATTACCCCGTGTAGTATGTGCAGCATTTTAAAGGGAAACCACAGAGTCAAATCTGTGATCCTGGGTTTTTTAAAGCATACTTGCATAACTGCAACTCTACCTGTGACTTTGTGGTGCGAATCTTTGATAATATGTTGAGAATTATCATGTGAATTCTGTAGCATGTTTCCGCCAGAGCATACCCATCTGAAATATATCTCCACTGTACTATACAACAATAAATGCCATCACTTTACGGGGTCGTGAATCTCTTTCCCAACATAATGAACTCCCTGACAGGGAAGTGGCAGAGCTTCGCCTCAGTAAAACACGGCCGTTTCCTGTCACCAACACTGAAAACAGACACGCTCTAGTATTTTAGTGATGGCGGCAGAGCGGCTGCCGACATTGCATTTCCTGGTGCTCAATCAGTGTAACGGACGAGTTTCTGCAACAGTCGGTGATGCTAACACACACGCATGTATGCATGCATGTATATACACACATTCCCACATGAAGAAGCTCTGTGCTGTCATGCCCTCACACCTCACCTCCAGCCACATTGAAGATGAACGAGTGAAAATCTCACACTCTGCCCCCCCTGCATGCTCGATGAAGCTCCATCCACCTCACATCAGTGCAGCTCAATTGAACCGTGCAATAGAGCAAAGTTGGACTACACCCTACTTCTCTGTTGAGTTCAATTGTTCTCTGTACCTTCATGTATGATTGTAGATAAACTCACTGCTCCCCTCATTATCGCTTGGAGATCATCGCATCAGAGGGATTTGATGCTCCCTGTTTCCTCCTCTTCTACAAAGGGAAATGAGAATTACAAATGTGTTTTTTTTTAGCTCAACACAGGCGCATTGTTGATTTTTATCACAGAACAATGAGAAAAGCAACATGCGGTCATACCTACACAATGTTTAGGTCGACTGATTTTCTTTTTTTGCATGTTACTTTTGATTTGTCAGCATGTGCGTGGACTTTTGTTAAACACCTGAAATGATGGCAGGGGAACTAAATTGAATCCCAGGTTCCTGCGGTTGGTAAAGTTACTAACAGAACTATCCGTTACAAAATGAATCACTAGAAATGCTTAACAGCCATCTTGTTCTGCTGTCTGATGCTGGTAGGCTGCATATGTCAGACCGTTTATTCTCAGTGGGAAAGAAAAGTTCATTCATTCAATAGTCAAGTTTTGTGCACTGAAACACAGATGGCAAACTTGTCCTTGAAAAGTGAGATGTGAAAAACTGAATCAAAGCAAACAAAATTCCACTTTTAGCAACAATCATCTAGAGAATTTATGTGCAGTATTTCTTTCACGGTACATTTACAGTATGTTGCTTCACAGATGTTCATTTTCAAGTAGATGCATGTTTTCAGATTGCACAGAAAATAGATGATTGACTTTCTAACGTCTAACTTTTTATAAAAACAGGAAATGACAGCAGATTTTACAAGATGCTTTTTTGTATATCATAACCTTCAGTGGGAGAACAAATATTCTGATCGTAACTCAAGAATATGTAGCAGTACCACAGTAAAAAAAGTGTTGTACACGGCTAATCTCGCATTCTGCTGCAGCAAACTACATTATATTTTTGGTGCCTGGTTGTGGCTGCATGCTCAAGGGCCTCTCGTAGTTGTGGTGACTCACACTTTCTCAAAACACCATTTATTGCCTGTTTTATGCTTTCATTGACTGCCTGCTGACCCCTGGCCGGGAGGGGCCGCTAGTGGTAACACGGCTCAGTTCATTGGCGAACAGACACTACTCTGTGGCCAGAGACACAGTGGGGGAACACCAGCTTCCCCACTTGTTTTTGACGGTGTGTTTGTCTAACTGCTAACGGAACTACACACACTGTTCTGCAGCCAGAGACACAGATACCACACCTGGCGGACATCTGCACTCTAGTTAGTGCGCCTGTATCATTATAATTAATCAGATGACTGTCTGGAAATGTGAAAGAGGTCCCTTGTAATGATGAAGTCACTGCGAATTATCACCCAACTTTGCAGCTAAGGAGGATATGCAGCACATAAAACAATCAAGGTAGCGGAGAATGCAATCCCTGTAATCATCTAAGACTATTTTGTCTTTGCAGTGATTTTTAGTATTTGGCACCTGATTCATCACCATCCTGATTGAGAGTGGGTAACACACGCAGTGCTAATGTTGATCTTAATGTGACTTGAAGGTTTTCATATGTTGCAACTGAAGTGATTGTTGGATGATCAAACAGCATCAGAAACCCCCCCCTCGCCACACACCACACCAGTGTCTGAATTGACAGGTGGCCGGAGACTTGAAAGTGTCTCTCAAGCTCTCCTCATCCTTCACACAACTACTTCAGTCACTTTTCATTTGTACAGATGTGTGCAACAGCATCAGTGCTTTAGAGGAAAGACTGTCCGAAACGTTTGAGCTGTTATCCCAGTTTGAACAATTTTGCGATGAGCTTAAACATTTCAAATTATTGAAATACTCTAATCGCATATACATCATATGCTTCAAATATATATATATATATATATTCATAAATGTACTCTTTGCCTGAAAAGTAACAGCTGTCTGACAAATGTAGTAGAGTCAAATGTTTAATATTTCTCAATACAATGTTTGAGTAAATGTATGTACAAGTTTCAACATCTTCTCTTGTTGCTGTAGGCTACTCGTCACTGCAGAACAGTGATGTTGGAGTTTGTACCCGGTCATCTGGCCTCCTCCCTCTGCTGATGCAGAGTCCTGCTGCTGAGCAGGTTTGGGTTGCGTCACTGCTCTCTCTCTCTCACACGGACTCCCCACAGAGAGGGTCCATACAGCCCTAATTACACTCCTGCCACAGCTATAGGAAGTGGGGCGGCTGTGGGTGGGAACAGTGGAGAGCCTCACAGCAGGCGGCAGGGAACGGCGCACTGAAGGGAGCTCAAAATCAACCAGCCGAGGGCCACCACGGGGCCTAATTACAGAGTGAACATGAGTAATGATGAAGCTGCACTCTGGTATTGCTGTGTCCGAAATGCTCAGCCCTCATCAGCCCTAGTCTCAATGTCGGGTGTAACTAAAGCAGTGTGTTATCAATAGACCTTCCACAATGCTTGCTGCTCAGGAATGACATTTGGAAAGTAATGCAGAGAATGTGACATGAACCTCATTTAGTTTCCATGGCTGCATGATTCATATGTGATCGCTGGAACATATGTAGCCGAGGTGTTTCAGCCTGTAGAATATGTAGGGATTTCCATTTGTCTTAAATTGATGCAGCTCTTTATACCTTTGTGTAAATTGGTGACTTGACAAGGGTTTATTTGCTGTTCGTCGATTTGCCTCTGATAACTGTGTGAATGGTTTCAGGTGACAGGAGGAATTGTTTAGAGGGATTTCTTAAAAAGAAAAAAAAAATGTTTTGCAAAAGAGAGGCAATCACAATGTGTACACACACACACACACACACACACACGACTACACAAATGTCCACAGAATCTAATGGTAAAGCAGTTTACCTGTGAAAATGATATGTTTGATGGTTTGAATTTATCCATATTTTAGTTCAATCAAGAAAACAAGAAAAATATGAAACATAAATGGGGCTCCCCCGGGAGAGCACAGCCTCTCATGCAATCTACCAGAGATGAATATACAGTCGGGGTGGAAGAAAAACAAACGTCACTTTTTACTGGTGAGATGAACGAGGCACGAGGCTGTGACTGAAGCTGCAGGAGTTCGAGGAGCTATCCAGATGCTGAAAGAGCACCATGCAGCCTTTCAATTAGTCATGAGAGCTAATGGCTCTGGAGGAACTGATGTGATTTTAACAATATAGGCGATAATAAACTATTCATCCGTTGCGTGCGACAAAGGTTCAGCTTGAACATTTGAATTTTGTAGTTAATTTGAGGCGGTAATTTAATTCTGCAGGGAACCCCCACCTATTCTTAAACCAAAACAGCAAGAAAGGAACACTGCACTCTATATTCACGCTCCTCTGTGCTAATTTATTTTCTGTAATTTGGAGGGACATAACGATCCGTCCAGCCATAGGGCGACAGCTTGAATCTGCAACGAGTTGTGTCCGCCGCAGCCCAGCGTGTAGGATAATGCAGACAGGAGGGGTGGAGTTCACACCCTTTACTTCTCAAGCGCTGCTCTGGCAGAAGAGCTCATTCTTTGCTTGGTAAACAGCGGAGTTGGCGCTGATGCGTCCTGGCATGTGATCCCACTTTCGTCAAAAATCAATCGTCTCACTGCTGCAGCCTCCCATTCAACTTTCCATGCGGTTGCCCGTCCAGTGGACAGCACTTAGGCGGTTTGTCTGGACCGTATCCGCTCCCGCTCGCTCGCCCGCTGCGCTCCGGCTCTCCACCGTCGACTCTCCGGGTCCAGAGGGACTCACGGAGCTGGCCCGGTTCTCCTGCACACATGGAGGGAGACGTTATGGACAAAGTGGAGGCCACGGCGACGGTCCGTGACTTCGATCCCATCAGTGGGAGCATCCCGGCCACCAAAGTGGAGATCACCGTGTCCTGCAGGTGAGACCACTCCGGTGCGGATGCTGCTGTGTCTGCGCCAGGGTTTGGGGGAGCTCCGCGCGCTATGGTGCGTGTTGCCGTGAGAGGACAGGACACGGTTTGTAACAAGTAAACGTGTCGTTTAACATTTTGATGCTGAAAAGAACTATAGGCTACATCAAACATTTTAGAAGATACAAAAAAACTTTACAAAGATACAATTACTTTGTGGGTAAAATCTTCTCAGAGTTCATTGCGCTTCCGAAAGGCATATACAAGACTAAAAACAAAACAAAAACACAGCACCTAATTGTCTTTACACACAGGGATGTCCATCATTTGTGAAATACACAACGTGCCGTAATTCTGACAATCTCTGTACTTTTCTTTGTCCTGTTTATCGGATGTTCGCTTTGGTGTGTCTATTAAGAAAAATCAATTTCTCTGTCAGTGTGTCTCGGGTGTGTGTTTCTTTTGCGCGTGCCGTGTCGCGTGCCACGGGAGCTATCGACCGTCATAGAGTTTGATGGCGTGCCTGAGAGGTTTCCCCCAGAGGCAACTTGTCGAGTGTGAAGCCGTGTAACTGCTTTACAGAATTCCAAAACAACACTAGTTTGTCACAGAAACGTGAAAATATCAATTAGAACTAAATATGCTCACCCTCGTTTAAGCTTTAAGTGGATCACAGCGCCCCCCAATCACAAATACCACGAAGATGTCAAGTGGCTCGGATGGATAGGGCGGGGCAGCGCTGGTTGCATAGAGTCACTGTAGTGTGCTGCTGCAACATATAGTGGCGTTATAAAGGTCGACGACTACAATCGCTACCGTTTTAATTAATGTCTCTCGTGAAAATTGTTGTAAATTTGTGTTTCCAGGGATTCCCCGCTGTGCGTCATTTTGCCCTAACCCATAGTGTTTAGCTCTTTGTAATTCCAGGCTGTATCAGTATTATATGCATATTAATGATGTGTTCCCATGTGCACTGCTGTTGAAAAGGGTCCAGAGAGACTTCTGATATGAATGCATGTTCAGCCACAGGCGAGAGATTCATCAAACACACATTCTGGTGTCATCGTTTTCTTCGCTCACTCTCTCATTTGACGTCTTCTTGAAATCTGCATTCAGTCACTCTTGTTGCAAATGCTGCTATGTCATCCATTTTGAAATTCTTGACTTGTTCAACAAACCCAACATCGCTGTTGTCGTGTAGGCAACCTTTTAACCCATTTTGGATACAAGTCACCTTTTAAAATAAATCTGTTAACCTTTATAGAGATGACGGGTTGGGAGGATGCTGCAGCTATGGGGAGAGGGGGGGCTGCTAAAAGAAAATGAACAGCATTAAACACTAAGAAGGCCTGGGGTCTTGCGTTTATGTAACCAAAATGTATTAAATTGTGTGTACAACTAAGAGAAAGTGTGTGTGGTAAGAATGTGTGTAAGGTTTGCATATAGAGCTTAGGTTGTGTGTGTGTATTTTGTCCATTGTGGGGCATGTGAATAGCAGCTGGACTCCCTGTTGGTACACGCTTATGTTCTTTTTCCCTCAGACTTTCATACTTTAAGCTGGTATCTGTGTTGATGCCCTCCGGTCAATCTGCAGCTCCCTAGTCTGTCATTAATGTCTCTCCAAACAAAGAGTTGCTCATGGACACAGTTTCATAGAGCAGAAAAAAATCATTCCTGCTTTCATTGGGCCTTGAAACATTGTCTGTTTTAGATGCAAAGACTTCATTGTGCTCTTTGTGACTTGCTACAGTAGCTCATGTCTGACCTCTGAGGATTGCTTCAAAGATCAAACACTGGACCGCTCAAAGGTTCAACACACAGCCATGCATGAAGCTATTCCTCCCACTTATCTTCAAGTGTGTATCTGGTCCATCCAATAGAAGCAAATAGAAACAATGGGTGTGACTTGGGTGAGAGGCGCAGGCTCCACAACTCTGTGTAATTGATTTAGTAAGCCTGAACGCTCTGAGATTGCAACGCACATGGCGTTGAATTGCGGCATGCAGCGCTGTCGGCATTCTCATAACCCTCCGCCAATATTACAGAAAGCCCGCTGACAAACTGGAGGGACTGAAGCAGACAACCCCTTCTCGAAATAAGTGCATATCACTGTGATAGCACATTGTTCACCGTCTATAGCTCTGATTGGTTTTGCTCACAGGTTAGCCAGTGAGCCGAGCCCAGAGCATCTGCTTCTTAGCTGCAAGCTCCAACTCAGCGATAAGATGATGGCTCTTCAAACTCAAGTGGCCTCGATTTCTACATCTGCCTAACCAAACACATGCCAGTGAATACAGTTCAGTGGTCTAGGCCAGTGGCCCCCTGTGCTTTTACAAGCTTGATCCCACCTCTTATGTGGCAGTTGTGAGTGTGTTCATTAGTTAATACTGAAGCAGCGCTGATGAATATTTCATAAGGTGTCTATGTGGTTTGCTACATCATGCTTTAATTATGAGCAAAGTAATAAATGTGACTAAATGTGCCTTTTTTTTTTATATCAGCTCACCAGACCGTCTCAGAGTTCCCATGTACAATGACTTAAGGGAAACTGGGGCTTCAACTCTTGCGGTTCCACTGTGAAGCACACTTTTGGTAATGAATGTCGGGGGGGAAGAAAGTGCACATAGACGAAAATCACAATGCCCCTTAAGGCTTGACACATGAATCTTCAGTTCATGAATAGTTTTTTTCCCCTGTTTGTCTTTGGTTCGTCACAGTACAGATCCATGGACAGGATGTCAGTAACAATTTGTAAATGCACTGTTTACTTTATGTGCCTCTGTGACCAGAATGAGGGACCAGAGCTGATAAGCCTGACAAACCCCCACACAGGTTTACAACCCTTATCTGAGTAGAGCGAGGGAAAAATAATTTCTTGCTCCTGAAAGATTCGTTTTTGGTTTCTCATTTGCTATACAGTTACCATTGAGAGGAGATTGAAGGGAAAACAAATAACAGAATGATCTGATGAAAAGCTCAGATTTCAACATTGTATCATTGTGAGTATGATAAACACCAAGCACAAGGACGTAGCTTCAATTTTTATATCCCTCCCACTTAAAAACACGTCAACAGAGGGCGTATTATCGAAATTTATTGGTCCTTTGCAGCATGTCAAATCACACCACAGGTATGCTGTTAAAAGTGCAATCAGCTGACAAAGCCACCCTCCCTTCCACTGCGCTCAGCCTCCCACCTGACAGCTCGAACAGTGAACTTTATCAGCCTCCATTGCCCATTTCGTCAGGACGAAGACAATGCACCATGTCCATCTCCTCCTGTTGTCTGCTGTTGCTTCGGCGCTCGCTCTAACCATTCATTTGCTGTGATAGATTGGTTAGAGTAGCACTGCATCCAATCAATGCGCCTCAGTGCTTGGGGGGATCTAACTCAACAGGGCTGCTCCCGAGGGATTCATTACCTTGTGAAACACACAAGAGGTCACATGACTGCGAGCATCCTGTGACAAAGGCTTGAAGGAGAGGATACCTGGCGCAAAGGGCCACCGATGCGGCTCTCAGGGGTCAATCTTAAACCATGTGGCATGCTCCCCGATCTGAACTCTTCCTGAGGCAACCATTGCAACCGAGGGGGGAAGACTAATAAAATCATCAGGACAATTAGTATGTGTGCCGTCGCTGCTCAATCTGTCAGAAACAATTGCCTAAGCAGAGCAATTGGGATTCAAGCTGTGTGAAAACCTCTTTGTTTATTCCAATGCTTTGTTATGGCCTCTAACTCTGTTGTTTTTGTGTTAAATGCTTGTAGTGGCTGTTGATCTAATTCAGTCTTGGTTACCCATTCAATCAAATCCTGTGACCTGTTTTTTCTGTGGTTGAAACATCCTCTTACTCTTCACTGGCAGAAAGCGAGTTTGAATTGAACTAGTTCGCATTGTGCAAGAGCATAAAATATTAATAAAAGATCTCAGAGTAAGAGAGAAATTTCAATTTGCAGTGTTTTCACTGTGGCTGCTCTTTTCATATCGTGTTCTGGGTTAAGACTGACCCGGGGCGAGCTCGCAGCTTTTATCTTGCAGGATGGCTTGTGTGTGTGTGTGCGGTGTGTTTAGTAATGTGTCGCATCTGTTTTGGGGATCAAGGCTGAGAGACACGAGGGTGCCAAGAGGAGGTAGATTTTTTTTTTTTTTTCATTCCAATTTGGGGATGTTAAGATTGCAGCAGGCGAGTCTCACAGGTCGATGAAGCGGATGATTATGCATGAACTCCTGACACAGTGAAAATGAGTTTGGAGCCCAGACACTTGGCTTGTGGTGGTGTCAGTGTTATTAATATATTATCAATGATGACAGCAGAGGGGGATCCCATGGATACACCGTTGTGGTGCCATGCCAGTCAGTGGTGTATAACACTCTGCATGTTGGCTGTGTCATCTGAAAGTGTTGATTGGAATGACAGGAAAAGTCAAGAGGGTGGTGCAGCAGTAAGAAATCAAAGCAGTCCCTCTTGGCTCAGAAGTATCAAGCTGATTTTATCACTATTTTCAGAAAACCTTAAGGGTCAGCGGAGTATGTCTGTGGATTTCTGTATCAAGGGATATTTGACCTGTAACATCACAGCTTGTCTGGGAAATGTGCGAGCTGGTGGCAGATCTGTACAAAATGCGACAGGTTGCTCTGTGAAGATTTCAGCACATTTTGTTGCATGTGTTGAAGGTCTCTCCCTCATTGACAGTCTTAGCCGCAGGCCTAAACAAGCAACTCATTGTCAGGTTATTGTCATGTCTAAACTTATCTGAGAGAATAGTTTTTCTGCTCGATAGGGGATGATGTTATACTTTAGCTAAAGGGGACATTTGCAGCTGTGTTGGAGAGAATATGTGTGTGTGTGTGTGTGCTTTTGCCACAAAGCTGATGTGTATGTGGCTGAAAATGTACAAATACAATTAATTTTCACTGCAGGGAAATGGATTATCAGTCAAAATGTGTGAATTGTGCAAGATAAACTGAACCACAAGCTACAAAACTATTAAATGATTATAGCCTTCTG